ATGTTTCTATCTTCTAATTCCTTGGCTGACAGGGAGAACTGCAGGGTGTTCAGCAGACAGTAATAGCTCACTTATGTTCCATGGAGGGAGGTGTTCTTGCGGCCTCAGGCTTTCTACCCTGTCTAACCCCAAAGACTCTCTGTTGCAAATAACATCTACATTCTACAGATTAAAATGTCAGAACAGAGCATTTAGATTTTCAGGTCAGGTCCATTAAGAGCCCTGTGCACTCTTACTCTGTTAACCTGTAGTGTTTCTGAGCATTCTACACTTACCTAATATTCAGTTTACCATGTGTAATTATGAAAAACTCGGTTTGGATTTTCTCACTTTTATTTGGGGTCTCTTATGTACCAAGCATTGCCTGAGATGCTTTGGTATAAGAACTGTGATATATTTATCAGAATAAATTAGAAGCATATTAATTTTGCAGTGAGTTCTTAGATATGAGACCAAAATAGAAGCAAAAGAAAAACATCAGTAAATTGGACTTTAGCAAAACTGAAAACTTTTGTGCATCAAATAAATAAACCAAATGATAACCTACAGAGTAGGGGAAAATACTTGCAAATCCTACTTTCATGAGGGTTTTAGCATCTAAGATATAAGGAACTCCTACAACAAAAAGGCAAACAACTTGATTAAAAAGTGAGCAAAAGTACTGATTATATAGGTCAGCAGTAGAGAGCAGAACACTTGCCTAGTGTGACCAAGGACTTGGGTTTGAGCCTCAGTTCAACCAATGAATGAGTGAATGAATGAACAAGCAAACAAGCAAGCAGAAAGGACATGAACAGACATTCTTTCAAAAAGATTTACAGCTAACCAATAAGCATATGAAAAAGTGTTTACCTCTGTGACTCATTTAGGGGAATGCCAATCAGAATGCTAAGAAGTACACCTTCTCATCACCTAGATTGGCCATAAGTTTTAAAAACTAGCAATTAATTACTGGCAAGGATATGGAAAAGTCTGTACCCTTGTGCACTGATGGTAGACACATACAATGGTGCAGTTATGTAGAAAACAGTTCGCAGGAAACTTTTCTTTAAAAAGCTAAATAAAAAATTCCTATGCTGCCTAGCAATTGCATTCCTAGGTCTGCAGCCAAAGGGTTTGAGTGCAGGGCCACCACGGTCAGGGCTGTGTTCCTGCAGCACTAGTCACAACAGCTGGCCGGCCAGCCAGAAGGTGGGCACAGCCAGGTACCTATTGGCTGGGGAACAGGTGAGCCAAAAGTGGTGCAGCCTTCCACCACAGAGCCACAAAGAGGAACGAAGTTCTAACAGGGGCTACAAGGTGCAATGGCCTTGAAAACATGGAAGTAACATAAACCAGATGTGAAGAAATACTGTACAATTCCCCTAAAACAGGTATCTAGGCAGATTCATACAGAAAGTGGAGTAGTGGTTACAAAGTGCCAAGGGGAAAATAATGGCTCTTTACTTGCTTAGCTGGGATAGTAAAAAATGCTAGAAATACTGTGATGGCTACATATTATTGAAGTGTAATTAATGCCATGGATTTGTACTAAAAAAGGTTATGATACAATCATACAGCTTTGAGAACTCTGAGGATTCATACAGCTTTGAGAACTCTATGGATAGCCAGACAACCACTTCTAACTCATTGCACTCTGATTTTCAGACAGCTAACTTGAAAACTTCCAAACTGAACTTAGTGCTAAGTAGGCTCATTCTTATATCCAACACTTCTAGAAGTTAAGAGGAAAGAGTTATGAAAGCAAATAAATTAATAAAAGTCCTATTTGAATTTTGACTTAGGTGCCCATAATGGTGATTTTTTATAGCAAATGAGAAGACTAGCATCATATTAAATAAAAGCACACTAACGAATAACAAATTTTATATAATTGCTAAAATTTTTTCAATGGAAAAGAGATCAAGAAATGGAGGGTAGAATGGGGGACAGGGAACATTAAAAGAACTGAGATGTGTTACATGTACGTAGCAACTCCCTGTGATGAATGTAACCACTATATAATGCAAACCTACACCAATGACAATTAAAAAATATCTAAATATTTAATGTCCTATACTTTTCAATGACGATGGTTAACTTTCTAGTTCTATAGTGGTAATAAAAATACTTAAAATTGTTACAGGAGAAACTTGTCATTTTCATAAAATCCTACCATTATTTCTGGCTTGTGACTGATTTAGTATGATTTTTGTTTTATGTCTATTTGAGAAGGAAGGGACCATATTATTTTTTTCTTTTGGGATTGAACTTGGGACCTTGTGCTTGCCAGGCAAGCACTTATGCTGCTCAGCCATATCCCCAGCCTCCTTTTTTTCTTTTTTATTTACTCAAACAATGTAAGAACCAGATTCAAGTTCTCTGAAGTGTACTTTGAGTATATTATTTGTAAGCACAAATTATTTTTGAATAAACATAAACTACAAAGAAAACATGCCATCCATTATAGTAGGAACAGAATTCCACAACCTCAATTTTGCAATTCAAGCACACGTCGAACAGTAATTCCCCTTCCTGAACAGAAATACAGAAATGGTATTCAAGTGTAAAGATGTGGAATTGTGAAGTTCATAGCATTGTAAACACGCTTATTACAAAAACCTCACTTTGGAGTGGGCCTAGATCTCTTTGGCCTTAGCTCATCCATCTTACGAGGGCTTCCAAGTTTCATGCCATGACAGCTGCATTTGCCTTGAGAATAAAAAAATCAGTGTCTTTTCTTCTTTCCTATGGGTATTATGTATGTGCTGTGGGAGGTTAACAGCAAGATCATCTTTGTATATCACAGCATTCACTACAGGCATACATTGGAGGGAAAATGCTCATAGCTGATGGGGAATCTGGGGAAATTATGGCAGTAAGGAGATAAGGAAAACGTTGCAAAGAAAAACAGTTCTATATGCACTCAACAAAGAAAAGTGGGTTTTCTTTTTTGCAGAATAGTCACCTGCCCTGCGGTATGGCTACAGCTGCTATGGCTGGAGTCTGAAGATGGATTTCAAGCCTTGTGACCAGACAAGCTGGTTCTCGGGCAGCTGGGGGAGGGGGCAGGTATGCCATTTCCATCCACTGATTCTCACCTAAAGCTGAGAACAATTAAGAGTCTGCCTCACATGCCTTCTACTTAGGGAGATTGTGTGTTGGAAGAACTAGCCTGCTGGGGGGACAGCAAGGAAACTGAACATTAAGTTACTTGCGACCACAGTACGCTTATATAGGCATTTACAACTTGTCTACAGGATAGTGGCAAAATAATTTAAAGAGAAAAAGCTATTTACAGTCAAGAATGTTATTTGTACTAAAAGAAAAGTGAAACACAAAACAAAATGTACTAAGAGAGAATGCAGATATTCTCCTAACAAAAAAAGGGCACTCAGGGGCCAGGGAGATGGCTCAGTAGAAAAAGTGCTTGCCTGGCAGGCGCAAGGGCCTAAGTTCAATCCCCGGTTCCAAAAAAAAAAAAAAAAAAAAAGGCACTCTTTCTACATATAGCAGGGCAACAACCCCAAATGTATGTGTTTCAATTCACCAGCTTTTAGATCCTATGTATCTGAAATGGGAACTTTCACGTGTCAAACAGGTATGACTTGCCCTCCATGAGCCAGCACCCTGCCAAAAGCACGTGGTATGAAAGGATGGCTACACCCCCATCCCTGATGTGTTTGCCTTCACAGGAAGCTATGAAGCCAAAGTTATTTTTAGTTTATAAAGAATTATTTCCCCAGGAGCTTGTAGAAGTACAAAAATTCTATCTAGCTGATGCCCACTGTGGCTATTCTCTGTTGGAAAGCAACTTTAAGTGCAGTCTATTATCTTGCTGCAACACATACCCTATAGTAAGGACTTCTGCATTTGGCTTTTACCTGGGCCGTGTGCTGCGCTAAGTGATTTCCATGATTCCATTCAACCATTTTTCACTCCAGAAGAAACAGAGGACAAATTTAATAAACTTATCCAAAGCAATATGAACACTGAGGGGCACCATTAGAAAGAACCCTGAGACTTTCAAAGTGTAACTTTTAATTAATTAAAAGTAAATGTTTCCTAAATATTCATTATGTGTCAGGCATTATGCAAAATGTTATCCATATGTTATCCATATGTTATCCATATGTTATCTGTTACAATTTATAGAACAATCCCATGAATTTGGCCCAAAGGCTCAGAAAAATCCAATGCCTTTGAGTATATTTCTATGAACAGGAACAGTCAGAACTAGGGTTTAAACCTGATTTGACAGCTGAGCTTCTGACCACAAAACTGCTTTCTCCCCAGGCAGAAGTAGGGGAGGATTATAACAAAATGAAAGGGAGAGAAAGAGGAAACTCTAATGGTTGATACACAGCTGGTCAAAACTATTGGATTATTCCTTCCTCTGATCTGATCATTTCAAAACATATGAGAGTTTCTTTTTCTGTAACTTTTAACATTAGGGCATAAAACGTTTTGTGCTATTACAAGACACAGTGAATAGTAACTTGTACTTCAACAGTTCCAACACAGGCTCTGCAGGCATGGGGCTCTGCATGCAATAATGCTAATGCTGGTGTTGGCAGGCACGTCCATCCCCTGCTACTGACACTTACCATCATATTCTGGGAAGTAGTCAACTAGGTGGGAATACATAATTTTCTCCTCTAGAAGATCCTTCTTGTTTAAGAACAGAATAACTGAGGAGTTTTGGAACCAGGGATATGTGATAATTGTTCTGAAGAGTGCTTTGCTTTCCTCCATTCGGTTCTGAAAAAAAGTCAGAAGAAAAAGGAATGAATTATGTGATTATACTCAATCTGTTAACTGCTTATTTCAGTAAGTGAAACCCATCTTCTGGGTGCTTTAATAGCTTTGAGTTGGGCTTGTAATGATTTATATGCAAGTGATTCATGATACATGTTGGCTGTTTTCATTATGCAAACTTCATCTGACAAGCACAAGAAAATAATAATAAATATCTTCTGAAATAACTTTTCAAAATGAAAGAGAAAATAAAGCCTAGACAATTATGTGGAATCTAACTAATATAATAAGTATGTACCAAAATTATTTATTCACGGTCAAATATTTAAGATCTGAGTAAGAACTAAATATCATACTTATGAATGAATCAGACTTTGCATTTCCAAAATTATATTTAGTTGGAACTTCACAATTAACTGTTTTAAACATTCAAGGCAAAAACACTTAATTCTTTGCCCAAAGCACATCTATATTTCTAGAATTATTATAACTAGAAAACAATACATATGTCTTGATAAACAAACACATGTTCACCACCGTACATACTCTTTAGGTTTCACTATGATATTCATACATAATTGTGGAGACACATAGGTAATTACTTCTAGATACAAGGCTAATATGTCTTACCGTCAACACTGATGTGGAAATGTTCTTACCTGAGACTATACTTCCAAACCTATTTGGTAAAAGAAATCCTAAATGGGTTCTCAAGGAAATGAGCCAGTTTGCTCATATGCATCAAGATGCTAATTGAGGCTACCAGAGAAAAATCACTCCTCACAGTTATCACTGACCGAAAGCCAGAGTCTCACAGCTTATCTCCTTACCAGCTGCTTCTCTCACAGACATACTCTCTTCTCGAAATTACTCCCACTCATGGGTCACAGGTCAAGGCTGAAGACTTAGGGGAGTTCTCCTTTCTCTGAGGATATAAGAACCACAGTGTTTTGGTACACTCTGTCCTGGTTCTCCCTTCATTCCATGTTATGACTGAGTTTTCCTAGCAATGAAAAAGGCTTCCTGGGATTGAACCCACTTCTACTGCTGACAGGTGGCTCTGTGGGTTAAACCAGAGTATCACATCTCCTGCCACATGAGTTGGTTCAGAGTTGGACTTTGACCCAGACCTGTGTTCTGGGGAGGCTTCCTCCTCTGGTTTATAGTAATTAGTTTAGCCAAGCACCTGCACTGGGCCAGACAACCCCAGGACTTAGGCTGAGAACTCCAGGGCAAGAAATCTTGCTTCTATGGAGAGTGTAGGAGAACAATGACAGCCTCAGGAGCTTTTATGCAGCACCTTTTCAGGGGACAGAAGAGAGGTCCTACTCATCTCGTTCTAACTGCTTGCTTTGGCTTTGCCTTTGGATTTTTCAGTATCAACAGTCAATGAGTACCTTTTATTTCTTAGACTGCTCTATTTTTTAAGTTGGCTTGTGCTGTGTTCTTCTGATTAATATAGAAAATAATGCTACTTGATATAGCTGGATACCTTCTATTCTAGCTTGTGAAAGGAAAGGACTCATGGATGTTTGCAGGAGGACCACTGAGACCGGCCTGAGTTGTTCCTCCCTTTTGCTCAATGCTTCTCCTTGGGGTGGGCATCAGCGCTTGCAGTGCCCACAGTGCCTTGTCAGTACACTCTGTGTATGCCTTTCTGTACCTCCAGAACATTCTCCACCACATACAACTTTTTAAATCCTGAGTATGTCTTGCTCTTTTTCATTTTTTAAAGTGTTCTAATTAAAATCAAATTGAAAGGGCACACTTCTCAAAAGCAGTCCTCTACCAAAATCAGGCAAATTTGCTCCTTACTAACTTATTCAGCCTTTATTTTTGTGCCTATAGTGGCTTAATGCTAATGAAATATATAGGCTGTGAAAAATTACTTCATAGCTCAGGACAGAGTCCATATTTTACCAAGTGACATGCCAGCCTTCAAACACATTTCTACTACCTACATGCCTTTTATTAGTTATCACAGCCTATGGTAAAATTTTAAACCCTGAAAATGATATTCTCTGAGGAGATCCCTGGTAGCTTTACAGTTTACTACAGGCTAAAAACACTTTAGGGCTAAAGAAAAACCCTCTCTTAAGTGAGTTAGATAGTAACATCATTTATGGGAGAGGTAGCATTTTGTTTTCTCTTTATTATTGCCAGACGGTCTACCAACCTATACAATGGATGGTCTTTTTCTTTTTTTAAATCTTTTAAATTAGTTAATTTATTTGGTACAGGGTCTTGTTATGCAGCTCAGACTCGTAGTGATCCTCCTGTCTTAGCCTCCCCAGCACTGGGATCACAGGTGTGCACCACCATGCCTGTTTTCAGTGGCCGGCTCAGTGCAGGGCTGGTACAGCATGTGGTACTGGGGATCAAACCCGGATCCTTGTGCTTGCCAGGCAAGTGCTTAGATTGCCGAGCTGTCTCCTTGGCTCTAATGGATGGTCTCTGAAGAAGCCATCTCTACAAGGTGGGTATGTACACCTTGGTGTCCACAGTGCATTTCCATCAGGAAGACATCATTACTTAGCATTTCCTGATAGGGTGTAAGAGTTCTGAAGGAAACAAAGGATTCTCACTGGCTCCATTTTGGCTGGAATCCCTCCAAGGTGACTCACAGGGTGGGCAGAGGGAGGGAAAGGGGTCCTGATTTTGAATCAACACAGAATTTTGTCTTTAAGTTTCAAGACTAGGTAGGAGTCCATCTGCTTGGCTATAGTCTACCAGGAGGGAGCACTGGCCAGCACGCAGGCTGGTACCTACAAGTTTTTCCGAGCCCAGAATTGTGTACCAAAGAAAACATGCCTAGAAGCTGCTACTTGGTGTCCAGAGCCACTCTCTGGACAGAGGCTACTCACTCTGGGGCCTGCGCAGAGCTCTGGCTTGGTACATGGCTTGGGGTTGCTTACAAGGTGCTGGGCAGACTGGGCCTTGGGGTGACTGGGACTTAAGCCTTTAATTCAGGGGAAAGTTCGAGAGTAAGGGGCAGATGCTGGGCAGCACTACCATCACCTTTGACCAGCCCCACCAAATCAAGCCCTTGAGGATTTCCTGTCCCTTTAATGCTGATGCCCTGGACTCTGTGAAGTTACCTTGGGATCTTATCAAAACAAGGATTTCTGTAGCACTGAGCAGGCTGAGAGTGTTCATGTCTGTGAGGGTCCCAGGTATGGCATATACTGGCACACTCTGAGGTGGAAGGTTTACAGCCTCAGCAAGAAAGAGGATGGTGTCACTCTACCCCATTTTCATAAGATGCACAAGGAGATATATCTGTGCACTGAGGTCTCTTAAGTCCTATAATAAAATTCTAACCATACCAGCTTTGTTTTTTCTCTATTTTTTATTTTATGATTCTTACTTTGTCCTATGTGATTACCACTGAATTCTACAGTGAAAATTCCTTATGTTCCCATATTTCACCAGGAGAAAACATTTAAAAACTGATACTCTGTACCAAAGCGCTCAGTTAAATCCTTGATGGACTAAGTGCAATTTTCATAATGCCTCACAGGGTAGTAAAATATACAAAGCACCAGGTATAGTCTGTTCTGCTCAGTATAAACTGAAATCTATGTGGGAACAGTGTTTCAGCAGACTTGGTAGCACATGCTTTTTATTAATTTGCCAACGCATGAGGTTTTGAGGAGGGAAACAAAAGAAAAATATATAAGACATATGTGTGTCAAATGATAAAAAAAGAAAAACAAACCCAAAGAGCCAGGAATCTTCCTTTTCATAGGGTTTTAATAGCTGGGAAATGAAGCAGGTCCAAGAGGCTAACAGAAAATGTTTTACTCTCTCAAACACAGGGCTCCTTGTTAACAGGATGGCCTGGCCTATGTCTGGGCTGTAATTGTTGTCACTCCACCCACCACTTCTGGGGAGCCCAGGGAAAGTAGGTCCCAATGCAGATAATGAAAGATTAGAGGGGCCTGTCAAAGATGGCCCTGTCTGGTCTCCAACCTCTAAGAGAGGGGGAAGCCTAGAGTGGCGACAGAGCCTGAGGACTGGCAAGCGCAGGTGATCATGGGGGTCCAGTGATTAATGTGAAATCCCTTGCCTCGAGTACATGTGACCAAGGAAATGTCAGACTTGCTCAGGCCAAACAGGTAGGTAGGTAAGCCACTCCTTGCATGGGCTGGAAGCAGCCCAGGAGCAGCAGTAAATTGGAATGTATTAATCCCTATCCCCAGGCCGGAGGAGGGGTTCTCTCTGCTCCCTCAAACACTCATGAGACAGAATACTGTTCAAGCCATATGCAGAAGTCCTTATACTTTTGAGTTTTATCATCTCAAGTTAGATCTCCTCTCCAAACACTACTGCATTTTAATGCAGTCTCCTGCTAATACCTGAGTGGTTCATGCTGCCTTCAAGATGAAGCCTTGAGTTTAAGCTTGGTATGTGCAGCTTGGCATGGCCCAATCCCAGTCTACATCTCCAATGTGAGCCACTGTACCACTGCTTTCTCCTCCAGATGATGAGATTCAGGGTCATCACTGTCACACAGTGAGACTGTGGCCCACAATGCTATTTTCCCTACCCTACCCCTTTAAGGCCCAGGTCAAATGGACTTCCCCACTCAATCCAAGTTCTCTGAGCTCTGAAATCTGGCTTGTTCTGTTCTCTGCAGCTGTTGTGCTACTCTTGGTTGGCCCACCTGTCAGGGGTACATTTGCTGGACGCTGGTAGGCTCAAGTGCACAAGCAACTGAATAAAAAAGGGACATTGTTCTGTAACTGCAGATGCACTCAGCGGGCTAGTAGTTTATAAAAACTGTGGGGTCCACTGGAAGGAAAGCTTGATTTTGGGTAGGTTATGTAAGGCAGAAAAGCAAAGGCAGTTTTGAGTTGAATCGTGACAGATGAGTGAGCAACTATGAGGGGAAAAAAGCAAAAGCAAGACAAAAAAAAATTGAAATTCACAAACAAAACATTCAAAAATTCTTCATGAAATGATTTATAAAGGCTTTTGATCTCTGGAGCTTACACATTAAA